TTTTTTCTTTTCATTGTCCAGACCATCGATAAAAAAGGAAGAGAGGGGGAGATGACAGCTCAACATATTGTTCTTGCTACTGGTCTACGTCCGAGGTACCCTGACATCCCTGGAGCAAGAGAATACGGCATTACAAGGTAGTAAAGTAGTACATGAGTGTGTCTAACATGTTGTGATATTGGAAATGATGTCCAAGATGATAATGATGGTGGTGTTGATTTTGATGGCGAGGATTACAGTAATGGTAATGATAGGGAGTCAAATAAGAGGAAGAGAAGAAAAAGGGAGATATTAGTTGTTATGGAAATAATAATCTGAAGCTTTTTGATGACGCGGAGCAGGACATGGGGGATGTTGATAATTTTTTAAAGAGTGTTTTGTCAATTGAAATTTATTTCATTACATACTTTTATCAAATTCCTCTACGGAAAAAAAAGCCGCTAGAATTTGCTTCGCTTCCAACATGTCTTTGTAGCTCAGTTCTGTAGGCTAATTATGTAGTCGAATCGCGTGAACGAGGTTAGTTCTGAGAAGGACTGTTGTCGGTAGAGGTGATGGATTTTTCAACAACCTCAGCAGCAGTCTTTACCAAAGTAATGAGGTATAATCAACTGAGTTGATAATAATCTGACTAAGGGCTAACGCTCGAAACGTCAGCTTTAAAACTCTTTACGATGGTCAATTTACGTTATCAACTCAGTTGATAATATCCAATTACTCTGTTATGCTCTCGCACCGACGCAGCAGAACAGTTTCCATAGAAACTTACCCCCTTTATTCTTTAGTCATTACGAGAGTTAAGTGATGACTTCCGTTTGGGTTTTCGAAACGTCGGTGGCTACTACCTGCAACTGTCCCTCTAAGGAGCAACTTCACCCGGACGATAGGACTACATCATCTAATATGCATCTCTTTTGTTCTCTAAGTCCAAATAATTGATATCTTGCATTGTCTGTTTATTTTCAGTGATGATTTGTTCTCGTTAGAAAACAGTCCTGGCAAGACGGTAATAATCGGAGCATCTTACGTTGCTCTGGAATGTGCCGGGTTCTTAGCTGGGATCAAGCTTGACGTAACTGTTCTGGTGCGATCAATTCTCTTACGAGGTTTTGACCAGGTACTGCACTTCAGAATAACCGTGGATCCTTAATCATTCGTCTCATTGTGAGGCTTTTCCGAATCAATGTCAGTATCTAATGGAACTGCGCACCTACCCCTCCTCTAAACCAGAATTAGCCCTAACTTATTATAAGTTGACTATGGTTGGGTTAGGGGAGGAGTTCGTTGGCAGTTGCTCAGATACTGACAGTGATGCGGTTTTCGTATGTGTTAAGGTTGTTAACTGCATGGTTTGAGCTCCTTGAAGCACGTGATTTCATATCCAGGGTTCTAGCCTTATAAAACGATAGGTTGTCTTGGTAGGAAGTTCTGAATTGTATCAAATCATGCTTTGAACAACTTAGCCTAAAGCGCCAGACTAAGCACTTAGTATTTTGATATTCGAAGTTTTACGTGCAATCGAACATTACGGTCCAACGTGGCGTTTGGTCCGTGCTAAGGTCATAGTTATCGAGATTGTGCTAATCAGCAAAAGATTGCGCTGTAATGGCCCAAGAGCGCGTTTTCCACATTAAGAAGAGATTCAAAAGCTCTCCTTGACGGAGAACTGCAAAAGGGTTCAAGCGGATTTGGTCGCCTTTTGTTAAGATTTCAAGACACTTTGATAAACAACGGGAGAATGAATAACAACATGGAGCAACAGGCAAAGCAACGCGAGGGGTGGAGAAATGAAGGGAACTTATTTTAGACGTTTCAGCACTGCATCATATATTTGTGAAAATATATGATGCAGTGATAAATAAAATTGTATAGCATATATATTATACCTTACGTGTGGCGAGGCGGTCTGACTGCCGCTGCGGTGGAATCAAACCCAAATTTAATGAGCATCTTGTGATAGATTATACGTGATTTGTGTGGTTTGTGTTAATGTGATGCTTTTATTTTATTTTTGTAGCAAATGGCTGAGTTAATTGGTAATGACATGATCAGCCATGGAATAAAGGTTAAAAGACCATCAATTCCTACAAAGGTATGTGTATGCATCACTTAAGAAGAACTAGCAGCTGTTGTTGTTGTTGTTGTGGTCTTCATTCCTAATCCATTAGTTAAATGAGCAATTCACAAGGTCAGATTTGATACTGCAGGATTCCTGCCTCAGATACATATGGTTGTTTGTTTGTTTGTTTTTAATATGTTTCTTTCTTTCCGTCCGATTTCGAACGTATCCGTCCGTCCGCTTGCGGACATTCCCTTGGGATTTCATTTAAAGCCGCTATTCAGCGGTCAATCAGACTTTCATTCCGACTATTTCTTTGAATTTCACGGTAAGGTGGTGACATCGGAGTATTCTGCCGTTGGCAGCCATCTATTAAGAATAGGTTTTTGACACTCCTGTTGGTGGATTTTTCTCAGATTGAACTTATAGAAGAAGGAACACCCAGAAAACTAAGAGTTTATTATAAACATTTAGACAGTGGCGAGGAGGGCTCCGTAGAGTGCAACACTGTAAGTATTTTATTGGTTTGGCCGTTTCATTTTTGCTAGTGCCTTAAACGGTAGTTGTATTACAAACCTGAGATCTTTTCAAGTGACTATGTTAGAACACTGTTTGATGAGTACCGTAAAAGGAAAACCAAAGTAATCGCAACAGCCAATTAGAAGTAATTAAAATACCCTGAAGAGCCAATGAGAACTCAAATTAGAAACAAGTAAAGCGCAGGAAAACGCGGGCGACCAATTCGTGATTGGTGTTTGTTTTGCATAAGATTGGTTGAGAGAGTGGTGCGGGTTTTCAGGACCAGTCACAAAGAAAATTTAAAAAAACCAGTGCAAACACGGATTTGAAAAGTTTCGAAACTCAGTTGAAAATTGCTCTTTATTCACAATTGCCATTAGAAAAAAAATATATTGCACGGAGCCAATAAGAGCTAAAATCAAGCGCTTGAAGCGCGGGAAAACGTGAGTGACCAAGCCACATCAGCCAATCAGAACAGATGAAACTGTAACTGTCAAGGGGCCAATGAGAACTCAAAGTGCTGAAAACAAAACAGCTGCGTGAGGGCGGGAAAACGTGAGGGACAGCTCGTGACTTGTTTTAGTGTTGCTTTTGACTGTTTGAGAAGGTTACGTGAGTTTCTAGGCCAACCATAGAAGGGAAACCATTGTAATACCAATGAACGCGATATAAATATTTTGTTTGCTTTGACATCAGGTGATGTTTGCGATTGGCAGAGACCCATGTACACAGGGAATTGGTCTTGAGAATGTCGGAGTGAAACTCAACCCAAAGTAAGTGTCAGTCCGTATCAATGTACTGTTTGACCACAGTTGGCAGTAATGTCGCAATCTGATCGGCCAATTTGCCGTTGTCGATAAGAGTACAGACAACGCTGCTCGCGTTAACGTGTCACGCAGTGATTACGCACTGAAAGAATCGTTTTATTTGATGTCGAATGAGTGCTGAGCCTCGTGAGTCCACAAACATGACCACTGTGATGACGAATCTTGTTGTCGATAAGGGTACAGACCTCGCTAAACCACTGTCGATTTGCTAATTTCTCCTCGGATTGAAGATTGACGGGGTTGAAACGGAGGGAGTTGTAACGAAAGTTTTATTTCTCACTTTGAGGCAAAATAAGAACGAAGAAAGATATCGTTCATTTATCTCTATACACCCACTGTTAGTATCAATATTCTCCTCACTCTTCTCTATACTTCCCCTTTGTTAATAACAAGGAGAATTGATTTAACAATCAAAGTTTCTTTGACTGGCGACAATTTCCCATATTCTTATGTCCTCAATAAATGACTCAGGATTGTTACTGTAAGGAGAAACTAGATGCTGGTCTCTCTAAAGTTTCGAAGGTTTGCAATGAACGCGGAATAGAGAGCTAATAAGTTTTAGTCTTCCGCGAAGATTCCAACCTCAGACCTGTCGAAAGCGTAGCTTTTGCACTGATCGCTAACCAGAAAAGCTTTGACCGTTATCGTGTTCTGATGCCCGACCAGAGAGCTTAAGAGAACACTTAGTGGGAAAAAGGTGGTAAGTTTCTAAAGAAATTGTGGTGCTGCGTCGGTTGGTGAGCATAACAGGATAATTTAGTATTATCAACTGTCTTGATGACGTAAATTGGCCACCGTAAAAAGTTTCAAGTGACGTTTCGAGCGTTAGCCCTTCGTGAGAGCGAAAGCCGCTCCTACGAAGCACTCGTAGATAACCGGATTCGCCCTGACGAAGGGCAAACGCGCGAAACGTCAGTTTTGATACTCTTAACCGTGGCCAATTTACGTTATCGACTCAGTTGATAATATTAAATTACTTTGTGGGTTCACTTCTAGGCTCATATATTAGAAGCGTTCCGCGTGTTTCTAGCATCAGCAATGTCGAAAGCGTAGCTTTTACACTGATCGCTAACCTGAAAAGCTTTAATTGTTAAAGTAAAAATAATTCTTCCTGTCGGTACAAAAGGAAATATGAAGATAAGTGAGTGGAGAATATTTATACTGATTTTAGGGTTTAAAAGGTGTAAACATTACCTACGAGTGCTTCACAAGAAATGTCTCTTCTCTTTTAGGAATGGGAAAGTAATCGCTGGCGACAATGAACAAACTAGTGTGCCAAATATTTTCGGTGTCGGAGATATCATGGATGGCAAACTAGAACTCACTCCAGTTGCGATTCAGGCCGGTAGATTACTTGCACGTCGGTTATACGGAGGCCAAAATGAATTGGTAAGTAAAACTCGCAGCCTGGTTTGTAGTACAATAGAATTAAGGCTTGTGTGTCTCGATCCCCTGTGTTGTAACGTGTTGAGAGACTGGATTCCAAATCTACTCTCCTAGATACAATAATTTTTTTTTGTGTGATACAGTGAGGCCTTGTTTGTTACTAACGAGAGCGCTTTTCGATTAAGTGTCATGAGACCAACGACAAAGTAATCACAACCGCCATTCGGAGGAAAGAAAAATTCCTCTAGGTACCAATGGGAACTCAAAGTAAAACCAAACAGACTGTCTAAAGCGCGGGAAAACGCGGGCGACCAAGTCGTGATTGGCTTAAGTTTTGCATCTGATAGGTTTAAAGAGTGGCGCGACCGCCAATTACAGCGGAGTAATGTTAAAACCATGCAAGTACGGATTATTTTCGATGCTCAATTGAAAAATGGTCGAAAGAAATGTCGTCCTTTTATTTTTCCATCAAACAAGCTATCACGTTCAAATTTACGATAGATTACGGTGAAATCTTTCCTGAGAATAATCACAACGGCTAATCTGAAAAACCGAAAATATCACGGGAAAGTGACGAGAATTCTACGTGAAACAATCAAACTTTCCGAAGCGCGGGAAACCGCGATAGGCTAACTCAGAACGGCCTTTCAGAAGAAAGGAAATCGTTTTAAGGAGCCAATAAGAACACAGATAAAAACCAGCCAACAGCCTAAGGCGCAGGTAAATGTGGGGGACCAAGGCATGATTTGTTTTAGTTTTGAGTCTCAGTTGCTGAGAAAGTGGTACGTGTTTTCTTGACAAATCTCAGGGCGAAGTGAAGCAGTGATACTCAATACTAACTTGTGTTTATCTGTTTTAGTGTGATTATGTAAATGTCGCTACAACAGTATTTACACCATTGGAGTATGGCTGCATTGGTTTGTCTGAAGAAGACGCCATTGCCCGCTTTGGGGAAGAGAATGTGGAAGTGTACCATACTAACTACCAACCTCTCGAGTACACGGTCGCCAAACGGGACGTGTCCGGCTGCTATGCAAAGCTGGTTTGCAACAAAAGTGATAATGTAAGTATTGCATGTTATTGGGGTCTTTACAGAGTGTTATTACACGGCAACCCTAGCCTCGGTTAACCAAGGTAAAACGATTGGAGAGAAGACGATCTAAAATTGGTTACGTCCACAGCCCTTTGGTTTGACTGGAATACGCCTTCAAACCCTAAACCAGAATAACATATGTAATTGGTTTGAATTCAAAATTTCATTTTCTCGGCTAAAATATCATTTTAATGAATCAAACTTTGCCAGATTGTTTTAGATGGAATGGTCATTTTTAACGCCTTTAGATTAAGTGTTGTAAAAAATTAAAGAAATCTCAACGTCCAGACAGAAGGAAGGAAGATGCCTTGAAGAGCCATTGAGAACTCAATAATATATAGATTTAGCCAAGCCTAAAAGCGGAGCTCGCATTTTTTTTCCCGCACGTCTCAACGCCTTGCCCCGGCCAGGACAAGAACCCGGGTCGTCCGACTCGGAGCCCAGTGCACTGACCACTGGACTACTGGACAAAGCCGTGGCGTTAGAGTGCCCGCGGTACAGTTGACCACGCATGTTAAAAGTAGCACCTTGTACGGTCGTACGGTCGTACGGTCGCACGGTCGTACATCCAAATTTTTTCGGCTTGATGGGTTACTACTATTTTGTATAATTATGGGGCTACGCTCTGCGAGCTCCGCTATGAAATAACTAAACTGGGTAAAGCGCGGGAAAACGCGAGCGGTGATTTTACTTTTGCATCCGACTGGTTGAGGACGTGGCGTAAGTGTTCTGGACTTGAAACTTGCTCAGCGGCTTCTATGGATTTTCTTTCTGGTAAAAAATCTGATGTGATCCATCGAAGAAAGATACCCCAACATTTGAACCTAGCTATGGCCTAGCTCAGTTTAGAGTTCCCTTAAGCTCAGTGGTGAGAATCGGAGCAAGATATGCGAAGGTCAGAGGCTTGACTCCTCATACAACACTCAGAAATTATCTTTGTCCCGACAAAACTGCAAAAACTATCCTTCTCAAGGCTGGTGCAAGAATCGAGAACAAAATCGCCGAATATTTGAAATCAAAACCAAAGCCATCATTCAAGAAATGCCTTCAGTGTTGCAGTTTTTAGTAGACGAGGGGGTTGATGCTGATACATTTTTCTTTCATTAAAAGCTTGATATTTTTATGATAGACTATATCTATTCGCCTTCTTGTCTTAGTATTGATCTTATTTAATTCCTTTCTTTTGTATGTAATGATTTTGTCTTCTCTTTATGCATTAATTTTCCAGCTGATATGTATATCTTTTCTCATATTTGTTATTCTATGTTGTGTATGTATATATAAACTCTACACCGCCTCGATTAGCTTTGCTGTTTGCAGTGTGCAGTTACCTCTCTTTCATTAGTTAACTTTCATTAGCTAATACACAGAAACAGAATGTGTCCTTTCTTTCGCTGACATTTACAATGTTTCTTGTTTAACGGATCCACTAACTCTCCATTTTGTTTTCGTGCAGGAGCGCGTCGTCGGCTTCCACGTTCTTGGTCCAAACGCTGGAGAGGTGACGCAGGGCTATGCTGTGGCCATTAAGTTAGGAGCCACGAAAAAAGACTTCGACAGAACTATAGGTATCCACCCCACAGTGTCAGAGGTGAGTGTATCGACTGTTAGATTCTCCTTACTATACCTTCGTAAAGTAAGAAGATAGGTTGTGAGAATTTGTCTTTTGGTGGAGATATGTTACGTCAATCGAAGTCAGACTTGCTTTAACCGGGCTCCAGTTCCAGGAACTTACAAGAGCGTGAGAACCGGAGGGGAG